GAACAGCTGTGGTTAGGGACAGGCCCTATTTAGAATAGTTGGTCAGTAAGGTGTGTCACAGTGTCTTTCATTCTTGCTGAGCTGGCTGCAGGCCTGCAGTGAAAGTTTGGTCTGTTAGTCATGCCCACCTGAGCTTAGGAGTGCCAAGATGGAGAATCTTCTGTCCCCTACCTGCCTTTGCCTTTCAGCCTGTGGCCTGGTAGAGTGCTTTTGGGTTCAATCCAGGCATACAAACAGAGCAGCAGCTAAAGAATAAGTAACTGCTAGGCAGCTTTGGAGTTGACACTGGGTAAACTGTACTGTGTCCATGTGGTGCTTTTTTTGTGTGTTTATTACTTACATCCTGTATCTTCCAATTACAAACGACTTGCCCTTTGTGTTACTTCAGTCTGCCTTGGTAAAAATAGCTGGCTCGTCTCCTTTTCTTTTCCAGACTGCTCTTCTCATTTTGCCCCTGGCCTTTTACATAGAAAACTTCCTGCATTGATTGTTATTATTTTGCCTATATTTGTTCCTGCCCCATTCATAATATGACTCTCATGGAAGTCTCATGAATTTTGTTTTAAGTTCAATTTGATCACAGCACCAAATCATCCATTTCTGCTTAATGTCCTACTGATCTGCGCCTATTTAACACTTCACAACAGAAAACAGTAATAGTTACATGATTGCTGTTGGTGCATTTTGACATTGAGTAACAGAAGATGTCTAATGTACAGGGAGACAGCTTAGATTGCTTAATTACAGCTTTGTTTGACTTTAAATTTTATATACAGTCCAACTTCATTAACTTCTTAAATTATGTAACTATCAGGATTTCAGTCTCAAAGAAGCCCTCAGTAGAGATCATTCTTTGTTCTTCAAGAGATTATCACTGAAAAAACAAAACTATCTTTAAAGAATAGGTTCAATTCTACAACTCTTCCCGATCTCAGTGACACTTAAAATTCTTCAGATCTGTTAATCAGTCATACAGTGGTTTGGCATAGAGTTTTGGGAATAGTGTTGATAGGGGTTATTGCACACAGACTTAGGTTTGTAGAACAGCCCTGGCACTGGCATACTTGGAGAAACAGCTAGAATTTTGTAGCATGAATCAGATTATCAGTGCCCCCTTGGGTTGCAGACTTGGTTTATGAGTGTGGAAGTAGGGCACATATTTCAGCTAGTTACTGTGTTAACTTCTTGTAAAAATTTCTTGATTAGTGGGCCAGATGCCAAGCCTCCCAAAGGCCTCAAGATCTTCCGATGCAACTTCAAAGTGTTCCTGTGAGATACATCCATCTACATGTTGGCTTGTAAATGAATGTTCATATATATCACTCAGACACATCTGATTAACAGAAGCAAGGATTACCTCTAATAAAGAAATGCAGAATAGCACATTGAAGAAATTTGAATATTTTTAACCTTCCCAGACCCTGCTTGGCTGTGGGAAGGCAGTCAGAAAGTGGAAATAATTTTGACTCTGAGCTCTGCTTGAGGTTTCTTTGCAGTGTGATTCCTTCCAGGCTCTCTTCGCCTTGGCCACTTCTGTGTGGTCACTCTTCATGTGCTGCCTGGGAGCCAGTCTGTAGCTCCTTCATAGTTTCTGTAGCTGCTAGTGCTCTTGACTGTGGAGCTTTTGGAATTGACTGATTTTCTCCTAACATTAAATGGGTGATTTGGGTGATTTCACAGCACTTTACCTTAGCTCTTCTCATGTGAAAGACCACTCTTGACCAATGTTAAAATTTACTATTCTTCTAAAAGGGGAAAAATAATTTTTTTTTACCCATTTCCTTTACATAAGGAATTTAGAAGAGCTTTGTAGGATCATGCCTGATACCCTTTGAGGGGCATTGCCCAGGGTCCTACTTAGAAGTACTGCTTTCTGCTAAGCAGCTGAGCTGAAGCTCAGGACCTTTGACTTTCTCCTACTTGCAGGTTGGTCCCCTGGATATTCATGAAGGAATTAGAGGTGCTGGTCTTTCTCCTCATATTTAAATACTTTTTTGCACAAGGAAGAACATGT